AGGTTCATGGGGAGGATCGGATAATTCAAGGGGTTATGGGGTAGCTTAGAGGATTCATGGGGGGGCGGGCCAGCATGTGGGTTGTTGGGGGTAGATCGGGGGGGGTTGGGCTATATATGGGGGGAGCACTGGGCCCAGCCAGCTGGGGGGCTACATAGGAGGCTTGGAAGGGGGCCAGGGGCTGTCAGGCTTGAAGAGCTGCTCTGCCAGCAGCTCCCAGGGCCAGGCTGTTCTGGGGACCAGGGGGCTGGCCAGATCCAGGCAGCGGGGGGTGGTTGGCTGTAGGCCTGGGGGGTGATGATTTGGGTGATGGCTGGGGTGGAACTGAATGGCAGAGTCACTGTAAGCTCATGCCACAGACTCAGGCATCGACCCAGGCCTCACCCCTCATGCATCTTACGCTGTGAGGGCCTTTTATATAAGACTTCAGGGACTGGGACATTCTCAGCTCTGTTCAGGGGCTAGTGCCTATGGCCCTTCCCATCTAGGGTGACCAGATAGCAAGTATGAAAAAATCAGGACAGAGTGTGGGGAATAATAGGCACCTATATAAGAAAAATCCCCAAATATCAGGACTGTCCCTATAAAATCAGGACATCTGGTCACCCTATTCCCATCAGAACTGGGGTTTGTCACTCTCTCACTACTGGTGTTAAGTGTTATAGACTCCTCAGGCAGGGGTCACCCCTGGTTGTGTGTTTACATGTGGCCAAGTGATCCTGATACTGGCTTTGGGGGGGGGGGCTACTGCAGTATAAACAATAACAATAGCCCCAGCAAAAATTCACATCTGTTTCTATGCAGTGTGCTCTACCCCAGTTGACCATCTTATTTCTGTCCCAATGCAAGATTAAATCATTTTTCTACATGCAGTGAACTTTGTTACATGATCTTCGATTTACTGTATAATCACTGGTTTATTTGTTATATATTTCAAAGTGTTCATGCATCGCCTCTAAGAGCACAGCGTTAAACATAAATTATGCTAATTATGCTTACAGTGAGTTGTATAACAATACCATCCCAATGTATTTGAATGATCAGATTGCTAGGAACAATGCATCAAAATTAACATGATGCTGAATAATGTTGGATGATGGTCAGTCCTGACCATCATTCAGTGAAGTTAATAAAGTTTTTGCACACATACTTACCTGGCAGAGGAGATACCATGATCATGAAGGTGGTTTTCTCAGGGTGAGGCTCATTTATTGAACTGCGGGTCTGCTGACCTCTGTGATTTCCCCAAATATAATTTATAATTTGTAGTAGTGGGGGACTGCATTCACACTTTCCGCTGGCTTTTTTGGGGACTTCGATAGGTGTAACATATCTTGAGGCAATATCTTGTTTTCTTTTCCTTTACAGTACTGCTCTGGGCCCTCCTCCTACCGTCAGTCATCACATGACATAAATGTCACTTTGGTTTCAATCCTGCAGTTGGATTCCACACTGGAAAATCCTTGCTCCTGTGTCATTAGGGGTCCACTGCGTGGATCTGATTGCAGGATCAAGGCCTTAATAGTGAGAGGCCCATGACCAGAAGGTGTTACTGATGACAGTAGGCTGAGATCTCTTAATGCAGCGGGGGGTGATTGGCTGCAGGCCTGGGGGTGATGACTTTTGCCTGAATCCTTTTCAAATTCAGGTGTAACGTCACATGGAGAGTGTTTTTTTTTTTCCTATGCTGTTAATGTTATGCAGTTTTATTGTCTATAATTTAAAAGCATTTGGGAGGCCTTTGTGTGCTACGGAAATATCAGGTGATATTTTGGCAAACATAATTAGTGTAGAAGGATGATGCAAAAAAGTTCTCAGGTGTAGCAGGAAGAGTTAAATTTAAAAATCTACATATATGCATAGATTTTAAGACATTATGATCATCTAGTGTGACCTGCATGATGCCCCGGGAACTCACCCAGTAGTTTCAGCATTAACCCCAGAGCTTCGCTTTCAACTGTGGCATACATTTTAAAAATACAGCTAGTCTTAATTTAAAAGTTTTATGTGATGGTGAATCCACCGCATCTGACACCACATACGTAATATTAGAAAATATCTAATATCACTTGATGCCTGGGTGACGTTTATGGAAGCACTACGCAGCTTTTTGAATGGTAGCTTGTTTTATTTCCCTATGGTCTTTATGAGAGAGACAGACAGACACAAGTACCACTGTCTGAGGAAAAAAAATTAGGGACTAATATGTTGCTATTTCTTCAGAATTTGCTCTTGTTTTGGAAAGGAAATTGTAGGTCTGTTGATGATCTTTGATATTTCTTTAAAAAAAAAAACCTCCTCCCCCAGCACCTTGGAGTCCAAATGTGTCCAAAATAATATTTAGTTAATTTTATAAATATTAGACATAAATAGTTATTAATTCAGCCTAACTTTTCTTTTGTCTTTTAGTTTTAAACAGAAGGGGAAAATGTCACTTTATGATGACCTGGGAGTGGAAACCAGCGATTCGAAAACAGAAGGCTGGTCCAAAAATTTCAAACTACTGCAGTCTCAGTTGCAGGTGAAGAAGGCGGCTCTCACTCAAGCAAAGGTACAGATATTGCTGCTCCTGATGGCTCAAGGTTGCTGGCCATTGGGAATGCTGTCTTTTTCAATTTTTCACCTGAAATGCTGGTCTCAGTAGGGTTTCGTTTGTACTGAGCCCACTGCGGAGTGTACATTTCCCTAGCTGTACAGACTTTTGGATGCATTGTCAGGCTTTGTCCTTCTGTTGGTAGTGGGCGGCACTAATAGAATACTCTTGGGGGAATTCTGCGCCAAAAAATTAAAAATTCTGCGCACAATATTTTAAAATTCTGCATATTTTTTGTAAAAATACCGCAACATAATCAATCTGGCTTCAATATTTTGGTAACTTATTTAAACTGCAATACAGTGGGTGGAGAATGGGAGTGGGGAGCATTGGAGGAAATCACCAAACCCCTTCTGTCTAATAGTAATGTAGCTAGTATTGACCCTTTGCTTTTAGTTATTAGTCAACAAATATACGCAGCCATATGCTCAGTGTTACATCATAGGCAACTGAAGTGCAAGTGAGGACCGAGGACTCAAACTCACAATTTATACTGGCTACTGACCATCTCCAAAAAGGTCAGTAGCAAACAGTTCATGGAGCACATTTTGATAGGAAATTTTTTCAGTCCAAAAATTTAGACCAGTTCTAACCACTAAAGCACCATAAGTATTTATAAGGTCATACTGTCCTTTACAGTCAGACTCCTTTACATCACTCTGGCAATGTATAGGAACCTTAAAATTTTTATACTCCTGGGGGAATTCACTAAGAACAATGGGAACAATTCACTAAGCAGACAGGCTGCTATGTTCTGCTCTGCCTGAGGGAACAGAGCCTGCCCCGCACCTGCCTCTTCGAAAATACCCCAAAGCCCTGCCCCTCCACTCCGAGCATGCCGCAATAGTGAGTGAGAGGGACAGTGTCTCTCTCTCTCTCTCTCTTTCACGCACAACTGCCCACTCCTCCCCCCACGGTGATTTACATCTCTACCTGCTGCTATGGGTACCCAAACTGACCTGCCTGCACTGCATGACTGCTTTTGTGGCTTCCCTTTCCTTCCCCGTCAGAAGTCATTTTTCTGCAGGGAAGCAAAGAAATCTGTGGGGGCCATGAATTCTGCGCACATGCAGTGACATGGAATTCCCCCAGGAGTACACCA